TCAATCAATGAATTATAACAACATGGGTTAAATTATTGATATATAACATCACCAACATGGGTTATGTTGTTAATGGTTTATCTCACCAAAAAATTTCAACAACATAGTGATTGTTGCTGAAAGTAACAAAGATCATATTACTAAAAGTTGAGTTTACTTTTTAGATGTATGGGTACTTACATTAGTATCAGCAACATGCATCTTGTTGCTGACATGTTGCTGAAAATTCATGTTGTTGAAAGTTAAGTTTACTTTTTGGGGGAATTGGGCATCAACAACATGAGCCTTGCCAGTAAAAATCTATATCACTAACAAGTTATTTCATATTATTGATAGATAGTTACTAAAAAAGAGAATTTTAGCAGTGTTTGTCAAGTTACTATAAAATTAGTATGTTTAGAAACACAAATAAACCAATCCGATATGAATAACCATAAGTTTAAGCTATTCTACATCTAAGAGACCGAGTTGTGGAATATTAATTTTTTAAAGAGCATGTGACCAGGAGTGACGAATCTGGATGTGCGCCAATCATCATCCTAATTCTTTTGATATCAAATACGTAGCAATTGTTGTTACGGACCTAATTGAAAAAGAATAAAAAGTCCAGCCACTAATTATAATTTTGCTCGGACTGAGTTACCCCAACCCCACATACAAACATCAGAGTTTTATAGAATGTTTTACAAGAAATTGTTTAGATAAAAATATGAATTTTATCTATTTTTTTAGAGTTTAAACTTTTCAAATCTTTAAATCAAGTGATAAACTTTTATTTTTTTATTTAAAGGTATAAATTTTACTTATTTCAATTAAAAATGTCTATTGCAATGTCACTATCCAACAAATCTTTAAATAAAAAAATATAAATTTCATATCTTTATTAAAAAATAAAAATCAATCATTTAATTTAAAAACTCAAAAAATTCATATCTTTGAATTAAAAAAATGACAAATTTCTTATCCCCAAACATTTTCTCTTTGTTTCACCCCTTTGGATTGGCAAAAAAATTCATCAGATCGTACTGATTTACCTCATGACGTACTGCAATATATTTCTAAGATTTTATTAGCCAATCTAATCTAGAATACAAACAGGTTTACGGCTTATGCACCCAAACATGTTTTCAATATTAATCTCCTATTAAATAGCAAAACAACATAGAAAAATGCAAGAGATCTTAAGTTTGAGTGACAATGGTGCCCGTAGGTTGAAGAATGGGGGGATATGCCCCATTCTGTGGCCCACCATCAAAAACAGCAACGAGTACTGATTTAGCCAAAACTTATAAACCCTGTAAATGAAACATTAAATCTATTGTGTCTGAACTGTTTAATCTACCCAAATACAGTAATAGTCCCTCAAGGAAGAAAAGCTTGAAGTCTAGCAGGAGCTCATGGCCAACATGTATAACAAAGCAAAAATTTCCTTCCAAGTCATATCAGTCTCGACTTACATATTGCAAAACCAAACAAAAGAGATGGACAAAGCCATCAACATAAAACCAAAGCTGGAATTCAGTTTCTTCAAATCCGTGCATTATGTCGCGGTTTTTTACCGCAAACATAACCACTTCCTATACTAAGAGCAGAAAATGCTACTTTTCTAAGAATCTGCTTTCACTTATTCTCCTCTCACAGCCTAATACATAGCCAAAATCCTCGAGTAAAAGGAGGAAAACTTTGGCACCAGGGTATTGCTATTTGCTACTGCTTTAGTGCATATTTCTCTAACGTAGCAGACACGAGTTTTTATCATCAAACTCTCAAATCCCAGCTTTCTTTAAATAAGATCCATGGCAAAACTGATACCGGACTCAGCAACTGTACAAAGAGAATTGAGTTCAATCCAAAGCCCTAGGAAAGCCTAAATTCCATTAACCAGATAAGTTCCACCATGTAATTCCCTTAGTGGTGCACACCATTCCCATTGCTATACACACCATTTAGTGATCCATTTGAAGCCTTAACAACGCACCCATTCTGATAGGCCCTCAGCATTGGTTTTTCATTACTAATACCATTTATTAGTACCTTGCTCCTTTCATCACCCTTCTCTAGAAGGGCATCCAGCTGCCCACATGCTGCTGCTATAAGTCCTGTACAATGATAATTAAACTTGGAACTTTAGAATTTCAACCAAATAATTTAGATGTAACTTTACAGAATTAATAGCTAAACACAAGATCAACCAATTTAGGTAACAGCTACTTGTAAGTTTGTTACATAGCTGTAGAAGAGGCCTTATACTTGAGATGAAGGCATAAACAAAAAGAATGAAATTTGGATAAATACCTAAGAAAAGGGCAGAAGGTTTTCCCGGCCTGGACTTGAATTCAGGATGGAACTGAACGCCAACAAAGTATGGATGTGTTTGCAATTCAACAATCTATGGCCAACATACAAGTAAAATGCTTATAAATACCAAAGACCAAGTTTTGTGCAGAAGTGATAATTTAGACTGTTTCCAGCCCACAAATATGGGTTTTATAAATAGACATGAACAACATTTATTTTTATGTGCTTTTACCTCCATCCGCTGACCACTTTTATTTCTGCCAACAAACGACAGACCAGCAGCTTCTAGTTCTGATATCATATCGGGATTGACCTACAAAACATCACCATGATATTAGAAAGCCCACAAATAACTTGAGTAGGTCATAATGCACGATTCTTATTTGTCAAACATAAAATGTTATGCAATCACACATAAAACTAAAGTAAAACATACCTCATATCTATGTCGATGTCTTTCATCAACAAAGCTTACATTGCCATACCTAGATGGAAATCAATTATCAGGAATGAATCATAGAATTAAAATGCTTGAAGTTCGAACCCCTAAAGTGAGAAGTGTGCAAGAGTCTTTATAAGCATATATGCCTAACGGAATCATAAGTACTTACAACTTTGCCGATTTGCAGTCAGTAACCTTGAAGTAAGTCCTCCTTGATCCCAGACGCATAGTTCCTCCCATATGAGTTTTTGAACCCTGTTGAACCAAATAATAAAGAGCTTCATTTAAGAAACAAACTAAAAGAGAAGTTTCCTTTATAATGGTATTATTTTATACCTCTGGCATAAATATGACACAAGGATCTGGAGTTTCAGGATCAAATTCTGTACTGTTTGCATCCTTCAAACCTAAAACTGAGCGTGCATACTCAATAACTGCAATCTGCATCCCTAGGCAGATGCCAAAGAAGGGAACTTTATTTTCACGAGCATACTTTGCTGCAAGAATTTTTCCCTGCACTCCCCTATCACCAAATCCTCCTGGAACTAAAATGCCATGAGCACCCTGCAGTAAGAGCCAGTTAACATGGATTCAGAAACAAAATATAATGCTAAAATGAAAATATCAACCAGAGAGATCAGATTTATTCAATAATTCTCGTAGTAAAACCACCTTCAGGCATTTCCATGCAGCTTCATACACATCAGGTGCCTGCAAGGAATAAATAATATACATGTTGTAAGATGACTCTTAGAAACAAAATTCAGGTGCTGCTGCTGTAGCATCTTCAAGATCACCTGCCGCAACCCACTCTACAACATTATGAGAATGGTGCCCTAGATAGTTATAGGCTACACTAACCTCAGTTGCTCTAGCATCTTCGAGATCACCTGCCGCAACCCACTCTACAACAAGCTTCCGACAGCAAGCAACAGATGCATGCAAAAGAGCCTAGCTACCACAAAGCATAAAATATTAGAATTCAAAGATACCAGGATATACAAAACTCCAAATTGAAAATTAGAACTGAAGCCAGAAGTCCCTCGTTCAATTATACATGAATGAATTTACTTAAGCATTTAAGTATAATGAATCCTACACCCTCTATCATTCTTACTCCTTTATCTTATGAAAAGAATTACTAAAAGAAAATGTGAAAAATGCCTTAGTAGCTGAAAAAGGTTAATACGCTGAAATAACTCATAGAAAGAGTATGGTAAAGATGGCATTACTTTTATATTATTATTTTGAATATCAAAAGATTCACCTTCAAAACAGAGAGGTAAGAATCAGAGAGCCCAGTGTATTTTCCAACCATTGCAATTTTAACCTGCAATGCACAATCCAGAAAAAAACAATATGAATTCCACATTATACAGACAGATATATTCCACATTTGGCCAAAAGCATGACTCACAGGATCATGCAGCATGTCACAAACTTTTGTCCTTTCAATCCACTCTGTTAAATTTGGCTCACTGGCAATTCTGCAATTTATCAAAGTAGAAATGTGAAAGTCAGTCACTGCAGCATTAAGGTTATCCAAAACAGGAGGATTGAGAGATAGATAATTAAATGAACAAGATAGGAAGAAAGAGATCAAAGAGCAAAGAGATGATTTCGTGAGACATACTCATGAAGGCCTAGTCCTTTCAAGATTGCTTCATGTGCCTTTTGATCCTATTCATGTTCAGATAAAATAAAAGAGAAAAGTTTTTCAACTTCCCATTTTACAGAAAGTACAGCCAAAAACAATCTTGTGGGCAGACTTCTTACTCTTAACAGTAGAGGAACATGCCAAATATTTGGAACATCATATAGAGTAAAAATATTCACAGCCTGAAAATAACTTAAACTGCTTAGAAGTGCTAACTGCAAATTTAGAAACATTCAGAGGAACCAAAAACAGCATTTGGTTACCGGTATGTGACAAAATTGAGAGAGCTTTTCCCTCACATTATCATCAAGTGCCTGCCATAAAACAAATTAATAAACTTATTCAGAAACTTTGCCTGTCATAATTGAAATGATTAAACCAGTGAAGGCAAATGAATACATAAATATGAAATCATTGAAACAGAAGTGAGGGAATAAATCATTTGTTTCTATCATAAATCCAAGAAAGCTCTGTTTTTCATAAAAAAAAATCAATAAAAAAATTCCTCAGACAAGGTAATAAAACAAAATCAATAAACAAGTTCCTCAGACAAAATACTATCACTGGTACAAATAATTAAAAAATATGTAATGACCAAAAAGGAACAGGGTTGACCTTTGTGCTTCGACAAGCTAGAATATTTGGTGTCAAACCAAGTCCTCTAAGTAGCCGAACACTATGCTGGGTGGGCTTTGTTTTCTATTATTTGAAATTCAATTGCAAAGACAAGCAGAAACAATTAGCAACCACCTTCATGTGCATGAAAATTAAATCAAGAAAATAGAAAAAACACCAGCATTAACAGATATGGTTTTGGTTTTACCTGTTCACCAACAACATTGAGAACAGGCACAAGGCTGACATGAACCAAGCAAAAATTGCCAGCACCTAACACGAGTATTGTTTGTTAAAGACCAATAAAAAGAACGTGGAAATACAAATCGATTTACAAATGTCCATAAAATGAAGAAGCATGGTAAAATAATTCCTACCTACACGGTATGAGAATTGCCCAAGTGCTTCAGTGAATGGCATAAATTCAATGTCCCCTGAATCAAGAAAACCTACTAAGAAAACTAAAAACAAGAACATAGCTCAGCTAGACATTATTGATGATATTAACACACCTATGGTTCCACCCAATTCAATGACACAAACATCAGCTGGTCCTTCTTTTCCATCCACTGGAATCATTGCTACACGCTCTATCCACTCTTGGATGGCATCTGTAACGTGTGGAACCACCTAAGGTAAAGAAAAAGGGTAAAAATGAATTTTAGCCTATATGTTACACATATAATTGCAAGCTTTCCATGGGAACTACTCTGTGGCTTTTATGATCATGTTACGTTCTGACATGATAGGACCTTCATGGGTCTCTACATGTTTTTGTGTCTGTGCCAGTGCATTACACACCCATGTGTAAGATATGATATCTAAATACTTTAACTTCTTTTAGAAAAGGGAAAACAAAAAGAAACCACCCCCCCCCCCCAAAAAAAAAAAAAAAAAGACTTAAATGTGACAAATTTCATAAAAATGTGCTCACTTTTAAAGTAAAATTAGATCTACAAGAATGCTGAAACAAACCTGGACAGTTTTTCCAAGATAATCTCCCTTTCTTTCCTTGTCAATAACATGCTGTCAAAGTCAAACACAAAATTGAGCACATGAAGAAAACCCTACTAAAAGTTTAGATTATGCGAATCCTTAATGAAAAGGAAGGCGCGCACACACACACACACACACTTCACCATACCTGAAATATTTTCCCTGTGGTTATATTGTTGTCTCGTGTTAAGGTGATGTCCAAAAAGCGTTCATAGTTTCCTAGGTCTAGGTCCACCTTCAAAATGAAAACAAATGATAACCCACAGTTTTACTTTTTTAAATACATATAAACCAGGAAATAAAAAAAAAAAGGGAGAAAAATGGATACGATAAGTAGTTTGAAGCAAAGCATTATGTCAATTATATAGTGTAAAAGTAATTCACCTCGCCACCATCATCAAGGACAAACACCTCTCCATGTTCGAAAGGAGACATAGTCCCTGCATCTGTGTTGAGGTAAGGATCTGCCACACAGCATATATGTTAAAACTCAATCCAAAGAGGTAAATAAACAAGACCCACAAGTAAAAAAGATACAAAATACAGAAAAAACGAATGCTATGTTTAAGAGTTAAAGATACAATACAATTACAAATAACATATAGAATCTAACTTTATTAGTTTCAAATAAACAAAAAGAAAAAAGAAAAAAGGGGGAAACTTTATTTTCGAGAGCAGTAGCAGAGCATCAGTACGGTTGAAGAAGAAGAAAAAAACAAAAGAGAAAAAGGAAAGGAAGAATACCAATCTTGATTGAAGTAACACGAAGGCCACAGGCTTTAAGGAGAAGGCCGATGCTGCTAGCAGTAACCCCTTTCCCCAGTCCACTAACAACACCTCCTGTCACCAGAACGTACTTCATTTCTCCCTCCCTGAAAAAAACAGAGTTCGTCCGGTAATTATAGTACCAGGATGGGACTTGGGTCTGATAATACCGAAGGAAGAAGAAGAAGAAGAAGAAACATAATATAATCTGAAACAGAGTAAGAAGACAAACACCGACACGTAGAAATAATCTCACACCTTGTTCCCAATGACGATGTTCACAAAGACTGCAAAAGTTTGCGCCTCAGCCTTTTTCTGTGACTCAGCAAAAGAAAGATTATCGCTTTCTTTGCTTTTCTGTTGCTGCTGTGGCTGCTGGGGCGGTGGCGCTGGTGGTTTTTTTTTTTTTTCCTCGTTATAGTAAAATCAACGAAGAATGTCTCAAGTGTCAATGGCAATGTGAATACAACGTTTGAAAGATTGAAATCGCACGTAAAGTGAAAAAGCAAGAAAGAAGGATTAAGAGGATAAATTTGCCACGAGGGTCAAGGACTCCCTCTGCTCCCAGTTCTATTCAAGGCGGCGGGCGACCCTGAACTGAGGAGATTGCTTTGCTGCTTCACCTTTTTATTTTGCGCACATTTACTACTATTTTTTACTCTAGAAGGAAGGAAATTATCTGGCTTCACTCTTTCTTGTTTCTACGCCTCAATTTCCTCGAACTTTATTCATCGTTTTACGTTTTTAGGGTTTCCATTACTATATTATTTTTTTGCCCAAATAAGGTACCTTCCAGGAAAAAGTGAAAATTAAGAAATTTTGACATTTAAAATATTAAAATTATCGCATCGAGCCCTTCGGGTCAAATGACAAAAGCTGCCCACAGTTCAAATAACAAAAGTCGCCCACGGTGCATTTCCTCCCCAAACTGGAGTTCGAACCCAGCCCTTGTAAAATCTGTTCAAAAAAATATATATATTAAAATTGTCAATAAAATTATTTAAATTAATTTTATTAATTTATTAAAAATATTTAATTTTTATTATTTTTTTAATATTTTACTGATTGTAAACATGTTTTAA